CAGGGAGAGGCAGAATATTTGGGTGCAGCCTACCAAATATCTAGACAGATGGGGAAGTCCAACTGCAACACTTCAAGTCTGGAATGGTGAGATGGCTCAATCAGATCAGATCAGAGAAGCAACATGAGTCTCATAGACTAGAGGTTTTCCACAGATTCGGGGACATGAGAAAAAGCTTTGGCTAATTTGGAATTTACTAACAGAGATGCTGTACAGCAAGATCCAAAGGAGCACAGAAACCAAATTGAGAAGGAACTCAAAAGGACATACACTGCAGTGAAAGTCAGCTACCAGGATGTGGAATTTGGCAGGTGGCTTGGGCGAAACCACACATTCACAACAATTTTCTTTCCTGTATGGAAACCACAGAGGCCCAATGGGGAGAAGTCAAACTATCCCTGCTTAAATAATGCAAAAGACCATTATCTCCGAGCGGAAAATATTCGTAGACTTATTTGACTTAGTTAAATATAATTGTCCAAATTAATAGCTAGGAAGATGCGCATGAAGGGTTTCTAGCCAGTGTGATTAACCCAGTTCTGAAAGTCCGGCAGCAATTACCACAAGAAATTAGACTGAGTTACAAAGAAACATTCCAAGTCCTTGACACATAATTTAGAACCAGCCACCAGCCTGAGCTGGCCAAAGCACAGCTAAGAGCCACAAGCAAAAGGAAGTGTTTCCACCTACACTAGCAAAAGATCTGTAGAGGCTTATGTTCCTGATGCACCCAGCAGATGTTTGCAATTGAAAGTGGATCCAAAGGACATGGAGAGAGCTGCCTTCTCCACAGGATGAAGCCTGGAACAATGTGAAGTGATGAATCTGAGTTTGCGCAAAGCACCTGCTACAATAAAGGCCGGTGGAAAAAGTATTATTAAATACCATTCTTCCCTCTGTCTGTTTGTCAGACATAGGTATTATTCTAAATCTTTGAAACAAGAACTGAAGAGCTGGTACATTTTACAAAGGGTGTGAGATAAAATGAAGGCTCCCAATCTTAGAATGAACACAAAGGAACACAAGAGGTTTTATAGAAGAGGCAGTTTATCTTGGACCCCAAACAGCAAGGGGAGTGTTTCCATTGACAAAAAAGAAACCAGCCAAATCTTTCCAGGGACTCTGCACTTTCCATACAAGCAGAAGGTAGGGCACTGCTCCTGTTACTCATGATTTAATTCCTGTGCTTGCCAATATTGGCAGAGAAAAGGAATCTGTTTCAATGGTCAACAAAACGTGATTTAGTTTTTAGAACTGAAAAAGGCTCTTGTAGTTGTTTCTGTCTTGGCCGACTTGCATTTCAAAAGTCCTTTCATATTGGCAATAGATATAGGTGCTTATAGTAATGGAGGCAATATTGACACAAAAATACTATGGATTTGAGCAGGCAATGCCCTATTACAGCAAAAGTCTAAGTTCTCCAAAATTAAAGGAACTCTGAGCTGCAGCTGAATTTACAGAGCAATTTGATTATTATATGTATGAGAAGAAGTCTGAGGTCAGGAAGGATTGCACATCCTTGCAGTGGCTCTTTAGATTCAGGAATCCTGAGAGGCACTTTGCACAGTAGTTGGAAAACTTCACTGGCATGATATCCCAGTTATGTGCAGGGCTGGACCCAAACACAGTAATGCTGATGCCTGATCCTGATGGCCTTGCTAGGGAGCTAACTGCAAATGCTGCACTAAGGAGAAGAACAAAGAATTGATTAGAATCATTGCTGAAGGGGATGACAGTACTAAAAAAAAAGATGAATATCTTCTCTTCCCATAACTGAAGATGTGCAAATGATCCTGGCACACTGGATGCAATGATGCAAGACTGGAGTTTAGAGCAGTGCTTCTCAAACTATCTGATGTGGTGGACCGGCAACTGTTTTTCCAGTGGGCCAGGGACCGGTGCCCAGTTCAGCCGGTGGCAGCAACTGCGTGTAACAGCACTACACAAACGCGCGACCGACTGTTGCTTTCTCTTTCCTCACCTCGCATGACGTGACATAAGCGGGTGTGTTGGAACATACAAACTGTGGCGCTATGACATATCAATATTATGCTTCTGAAAATATATTTCTTTTTTTCCTGGCAACTCGCTGCAGACCAGCAAATATATTTCTTTCTTTCCTGGCAGCTCGCTGCGGACTGGTGACCGGTGGCTCGCGGACCAGCACCGGTCTGCGGACCACCACTTTGAGAAGCACTGGTTTAGAGCATAAAGGGTTTCCTGAAAGGGAAGCTGTTGTTGCCCTCATCTCTCCTGCTCTTACCTGTGGCACATCATAATGTTTTTGGTGCGTCAATATTGGTCCTTATAGCTGTGGGCAAGGGTTTGGAGTGGTAAATTTGGGGGGTTCTTTTAGCTAATAATCATCTATGAGTGCAGTCAACTGGATTTGATAGTCCAGGAGGCCCTTTCCAATCCAAAGTCCCCATTTTCCCATAGCGTTGCATGATGTATCAAACAGCAGCCAAAGACAGTACAGAGTACCCCTCATTCCTCATACTTTGACATAAACTCAGGACCGACTTCAGCAAACCTCTTTTATGGGGTTCCTGATGAGGAACAAGATAATGGGACCATCTGGATAATCCAATAACAAAATGATCCAGACCTGAAGGATCTCATGTCTTTGCCAGGAAACATCTGAACCTAACCTTTCATACATGGAAAAGTCACATGGGAAAACTTTCAGAAGACAATACCTGGTCTGGTTCTGCAACCCCAGGAGAAAGAAGGGTAGCAGCCCTTAGTCAAAAAGGCCTCAAGAAGAATTGTATAGAGAATATGGACCTGAATAAATAAAACAGATATAAAGAATACAGCTGACTCTCAAGACTAACCCAAAGTTATCCATAACGACCATTTGAGGAAGAACCATAAGCACAGGACTTCAACAGGCATGATGCCCAAAACTGGGAACACAAGCTGACTTGGAGAAATTGTTGCAGTAATGAATTCTCCATTAGGAAAAAATGTGTGACAAGCAGATTCGATAGGAACAATACATGTTCCTTGGGCAGTCCTTGGAAAGGACCTGTCCCAGGTGGCAAGAGGAGAAAAACTCCAAGGAGATTTGGATGAAAGTATAATTGTTTTGTGTTGGTCATGGAAAAATGTCACAATAGAAAGGTGCAGCAAAAAGATGAATAATTAAGACTTCAAAACTGGAAACTGATTATAATATTTCTTTTTTCTTGCCTGGGATGGGTTATTTGAGGCATTACTATTTTAAGCTCCACTGGAGTGAGAGGTACAGAGAAGAGATTTGTTGTTGTGGGTTAGGCATCATTTCAACCCTTCCTTTAAGACAGCTGTAAGGAAGAGTTGAGCTCTTTTATCAAAATAGATCATCGTGACCGTAGTAGCCTCCAGTTGAAATGCAGGTACTTGTCCTCACCCTAAACAAGGGCGAAGGCAATTCAGCTGTAAGCCAAAGGATCCCACCAGGCATTGTTTTGTAAAAGAAAGGGAGGAAACCAGTAAAACTAAAACCTAAAAGACCACAAAAAAGCATGAGACACAACCGGAACAAGCAGTGGGAGCAGGACCTAAGAAAAGACTACTGAGAGAGAAAGAGAGAGAAAATGCTTTTTGGCTGTGTGTTGGCTGAAAGAGGCTTGAAGCTGGAAGCAAGGGCTGTCTCCTGCTGTTTGATACCTGCTGTATACAGAACAGGCTGTGTGCATTCTTTGTCAACAGGCAGGGCTGCAATGAAGAAATAAGTGGCTCCACCATCATTTCTTCTTCTAATAGGAACAACCTAAAACGTCACTTGGATCACAGGAGAAGTAACAGGGACATGGGATGGGTTAACTAGCAAGTCCTGAGTAAGGCAGCCACATGGCACGCATTCTAGCAAGGAGTCCTGTGCCACTAGGGTCAGCATCCAACCCTCAATAAACAAATCCTCCTGTGGTCCCTTCCTGGGGCTGGCCTCACCAGGGTCCCTTGGACTTTCCCCTAAATGTTCTTCTGATGAAGCCCAACAACAGTTGCATCTTTTTTTGGTATCAGAGACAATAAAAACCCTCCCTGTGCTCTGAAGTAGGACCCACAGCAGATACTGGCTGGGTGGAAACACAGGAGGAGAAAGGGATGTTTACAGGATTATCAGTTCCTGGAATCCAGCCTGCTGCTTGCCAGTTTTCTGTCACCTTTCTGGAATGCAGGGAGGATTTGCAACAATTTCTTCCTGAACATTCATCTTGCTCATCCCGCCAGCTGCACTTGTGCACTCCCTCCGCCCCGCCTTGGCCTCTCAGCCTTCCTCTTGGCCCCTCCCCATCCATGTACTGTAAGCCACACACCCATCTTTCCCTTCCATCTCCATTCTCCTTTATGGCTTCCTAGCTTTTCCCTTTCTCCATTTCTCCTTCCTTCTTCCTTTATCTATTCCTTCCTTTTCTTTCCATCACTTGTTCCTCCCCACTACTTCTTCCCGTTCTCCTTCCAGCTCCTTCAGTTTTTCCCTCCCACATCCATCCTTCATGGCATTCCTTGTCTCTGTCTCTCCCTCCTTCCCTCCCTGCCTCACTGTGCTGCTCCCCGTCTCTCTCCCAGCTACCAGTGGCTGCTGAGAGCCCTGAGCCCACTCTTTTAAAACACCACATCTCACACTCAGATGAAAATACTCATTTTAAAAATCCAGGCTGGAGCTGGAGATCCCTCTAGACCAAACCACACCTCAAAATAGCTGTGCTTAGTGTCACTGGCTCCTGCTCATTTAGGCTGGACTGTGGTCCTGACAGCACATGGGGAGACTTCCCTCTCCAGCAAAACCTGCCCTTGATGGGACAAGCACCCTTATTCCTGGCAACCTCTCTCACCATCCCAGTTTGCAAAGAATTAAGTTTCCCCCAAGCAAAATTACATGGGAGACAGCACCTCTCCCCCAGGGCAGGCTGGCAGGGATCCAGGGAACCCAGGACAGTGCCCCTTGGGAACCTCTTGCAGAGTGAGGGGCATGTGTGGCTCTGTCTGTGGGGAGTGCAACAGTTACTCACAGCTCCTTGTAGTTGGCATCGTACAGAGTTGCCCACTTGTTCTGCTGATGTGGCTGCCACTTTATGGACTGGTAGTTGGGATCCAGGTAAGAGCCATTTAGGCTGTCGTTATCTTGAACCAGGCCTGTAGCAACAGGAAAATACTGATTTAAACCATTCCATAAGGACTCCTGCCAGGCAAGAGCTCCCCGCGCCCCCCGCTGCACCCAGAGTGGTATGAGGAAAAGGTCCTCACTGCCTACACACACAGCCTGGGGTGCTTTCCCCTGACTGAGAAACATGGCACAACTGAGTCTGGGGCCAGAAGGAGAGGAGTTCCCATATTTTGCACGTTCAGTGCTAGGAACTCTGCTCTCGTTCACTTCTCCAAAGACAGCACCCCCTGCCTGTGCCCAGCAGACATTTTTCCCCTATTCCGTCCCCCATCCCACCTGCTGGCACTGGGGAGGTGTATGGAGGCTGGCATGGTCAGGGGAGCAGGGAGGGGAGGGGGCAAAAAAAACATACCTGGTGAGAGTGCCCCCTGTTGGTGCCAGGGAGGCGTTTGGACTCTGTCAAGGCTGAGTGGCACAGACCCCATACCTGGCTCCTGTTTTATCATCCCGTTGAGCATCTGCGCATTAAGGGTATTGGGGGGCGACTCGGAGTGTTTCCTCTTCTTGGTGGGGTGCACTGGGAGGCTGCAGAGAGCGATCGGGAAAGCAGACCCTGAGCCGCAGGGAAGGCAGCTTACAGGAAAGCATGGACCCTGAAGGGGGGTGAGGGCGTGGGGGGTCTCAATGGCCAGTGAGGAACTGACAGGAAGGGCTTGGAGATGGGAAACCAGGAAAGGGCTCGGTTCCAGGTGCCAAACACTAAACTCTGAGTGCTCTAAGGGCAGAGATGCCCCTAACCTTCCTCCATTAGGGACCCTCTACCTCTACCCTGTCACCATACTCCAAACCTCCATAGCCAATGGGCCCCCAACCCTCTCCACCAACAGGCCCCCATCCTATGACACCCCACTCTACTCAAGTGCTTCATTACCTACACCACTCCTATGCCCTATCGCCACACTGCCACTACACCCACTTTCATCATAACTGCAACACCCATGCATCACTGGCATATCCCCCCACTGCCATACCACCATATGCTCCATGCTGTGGACAACCCCTGCCTCATACCATCATGCTGCACAATCATGCTCTCCTTCACCCATTACCCTAAACCTCTGGGCACATTACCAACAAGTCCATTCATACTCTTCTCCATGTGGTGAAACCCAGTAACTTTGCTGTCCCTAAGGCATAGCTAACCCCCTATGCCTCCTATCCCCAGCCAGCACTCCCACACTGCACACTAGCACCTCAGAAAAAGCCCTGTAGTACTAGAGGCCCCAAGGTCCCCCACACCCCCCACCCTGGCCTCCCCAAGATCTTACTCAGCTCCGTGCTGCTGCAGTAACTGGTGAAGCATCTGGGACTGCTGGGCATGGTGGAGATCACCAGGCGACACACCCTGCCCCATGCCATATGGTGGCATCAGCGGCTCAGCCTTCATGTACATGTCCCGCTGCATGCTGGGATAGTGGGGGTTGTGCGGCAGCGGCTGGTGTGGATGGGGTGGAGGCGGTGGAGGAGGTGGGGGGCCCTGGAGGTGAGGAGGTGGGGGTGGAGGAGGTGGAGGAGGGTGCTCCAACCGGGAAGGGGGGGTCATGTGGCACATGTTCTCGGGGGTCATGGTCCGAAGGAGGTGAGGATCTTCAAAGAAAGAATAATAAAGGGTTTGTAAGAATCATGTGCAAGACCAGGCATGATTTGTCCCAACTCCACCTCACATAACAGCCACCCTGTCTCCCAAGAACAACAGCTTGTTCCAGACCCACTTCTTCCATCTTGCTGCCCCAGTCCCAGTCCGTTCTCTCTCAAACCCACCCTCCACCACACATCTTCCCTTAGGCCTGGCACAGGCATACTCTGAACCCACCTCTCCCATCTGAATCTAAGATGGTATCTCCACCTGCCCAACCACTTCTAGGACCAGATTTCTCCTCCCACCTCCTGCTTCTTCAAAGGCCCTGGGGTCCTGTGGGGATGGCTGGTGAATTCTGGTCGATAAGGAGAGTTCCAACCACCCCCTTCTTTTGATAACTCCACAGTGTCACAGGGCTTTGTCCCTCTGTGCTTGGAAAAAGTTTTGAGGGAGCAGAGGTGAGGAGTCCCCCAGCAGCTGAAGAACTCAGTGGGCTCATTTCTAAACCAGTCAAGGCATAATAAGGGGATGACTTCCATCTCAGGTAAGTTTTGAACTGAACAAGACAAACCATTCAGCATGATATCCCTCTTCAAATCACCCCTCTGTTTCTAGTACATAGGCCATTAATGCCTTAGTAAATGGGCAAAAAGGGACAGCTATCATTCCCCTGTGCTACTGTAACATCAGGAATAAGGGCCTCTGGGTACCATTTTGGAGTGTCTGTATCTATATCGAACTACAAGCACCCTTCTGTTTGACAGCCCTTTGCATGCCACTGTACTGTGTCTCACCTAATGCCTTTTGCCTCCATCTTGAACTGGAATTCCAAGAGGTAATAAGAGAGGGCAAACAACATCAAACCCAGGGTTGTTAACCTAGATGGTCTGTTATGCAAATGACATTAACCTGGGCAATGAATTGATTAACCTGGGCAATGAATTGATTAACCTGGGCAATGAAACATCAGTGGCAGAAGGACATGAACCCCTCCTTCCAGGAGAGCTGGAGCTAGCAACCAAGCCATGGGGGCTTGAAGGGGCTCAGGATGGTCAAAAGACTAATGAAATTGCAACTTGTAAAAAGGGAGGTGCTTTCTCCATCTACCCTGAGAGAAGGAGAGAGGCCACAACAAAAAAATGAACAGGAACAAAAGGGTGCAGGGAAAAGCTGGGACCTCTGAAAGGGCCAAACAAAACCCACAGGGCTCTCCAAGTAGCATGGGAGGCAAAGGGAAGGATTTGTTTGCAAGTTTTGCTATTTCTTCTATAGACCTGTGTATCTCTTGTGCTTTGCAGACAGCCAAGAAAAATGTTACCCATGCTCTCTCCCCTGCAGTGTGCATCTAGTGTCGGAGAACCAGAAATAGTGTCTAAACTTTGTCTAGCCCCAGCTTGGCAGAGTACGTGTGGCCCAAGGGGCTCAGTCCAGTACAGCAGCCTGGCTGAGTGTCCAGCAACAGGAACCCATCTCAGTTTTTCATAAATCATAAGTCCAGAAGGGAGCATTGTATTCATCTCATCTGGTCTCCTATATAACTTGGGCTTTAAGACTTCCCTGAACTCCTGGCCCCTCTTGTGCTAGGCACTGTACATACACAGACCAAAGACAGACCCTCCCCAAAGAGCTGACAATCAAAGTCTGGACAAGAGACAGGGTACAACAGGTAAAATGGTGGAGACCAGTGACCACGAGGTGATGATGGATAGTGGGAACAACAGCTATGAGCACACCCACTTGCTACCTAACTGCTGCCAAGCTCCTAGGAGATAGTTGGTAGATGCACCAGGAAAGCAAAGGGGGAACTTTGCTCTCCGATCTCACTTGTTTCACCCGCAGTGCCAGCCTCCGGCATGCCTGCAGTAGGATCCCACAAGCCCAAACAACTCCCCTCACCCCACATGTAAGGGATCAGCCTGCCTGGCCTCTATCTAGCTTACATGGCACCCAGCCTCCATAACATCTGAATGCCTCATGCCTTGAATGTATTTCTCCTCACAACAACCCTTAGCACCTATTTTGCAGATGGGGAACAGAGGTCCAGGGAGGATAAGAGATTTGCCACCCAGGGAGACTGTGGCAGAGCAAGAAATTGAACCTGGGCATTCCAAGCCCTAAGCTAGTGCCCAGACGAAAGGACTGTCCTTCCTGGCCTTCTGAGCAAGTCACTGCTTTCCCAGTATACTTCTCTTTTATCCTGCAACTAGTAGCCACCCTAAAACTCTGATATGGCACAAAAGTTCAACCTGCTGTTCTTCTCCTCCATCCCAATCCCTCTAGGCAGCCAGCACTTCAGCTCCAGCTTCCTCTCACAGTCATGCCCACTAACCTCTCCTTCAGACTCCATGCTCACCGCATTCCCTTATTTCTACCACAGTCAACGAAAGTTTTCCCTTCCACTTCCTTAGCAGTGAGAACAAACGCATGCAGAGTGGGGACAGACAGGGTGACTAAGCCCCTGACAGTTAAGCCCCTGCAGAGGGGACTTTTGTAGGCACATTTAATTTTCTAATACATACTCTTTAGTTTTAAACCAAGGAAGGACTTTGACCCTAACATTTAAATAAACAAAAAAGGAGATTCAAATACGCAGTCTGCCTGGTCCCCTTCCTGTCTATGGGATCAGATATTGAAATCAAGCCACTATCTGAGTTGATTTGAATGTGTCACCATCAAAATAAACGTTTAACAGGTAGAGCTTGGGAATGGATGCAAATGAACCAACTCTCCTGTATCTCACTTTAGGACTTGCTTTGACGTTGAGCCCCACGCAAGCACAGCTGTGCACCAACAGGGAGCTTGCTACATAACTGGGATCTGATAGTGCCATTCTCGAAACAATTTACTAACCAGCGGGCACATCTACATGGGACGTTATGGTGCAGTAGCAACAAGCTATTGCACTGTAGCTCACTGCTACAGAGCCGTAATGTTGCCAGGCATGAACTGTGATAGCGAAGCTACTGTGCAGTTGTAACAAGCTACTACACAGTAGTTCATTGCTAGTGAGCAGTAGTATCTAAAAATAACCATGTGGTGACAGGACTATACAGCAACGCTGGTTACTGTGCAGTCATTTAGTATTTAGTTAAGCAAGTACTAAATGACTGCGCAGTAACAACTGCACAGTCTGCTGCACGTGTAGACATGCCCAGTATGGTTCATATTCTGTTGCAAGCAGTTTCTCCAAAGTCAATGGTACTAATCACAGTAAAAAGCATTATATCCAGTAGTATGTCTCCTGCAGCAGGCCCCTGGGTCTTTATAAAGAAAGGTCTACCCAGGTTGTATAACTGGACTTGACTGATCATAAGCCAAGTACCTCTCAGTATTCATTGAGGAATAAGGTCAGGGCAAGTTGGGAATACCACTAAACTGCTTTGAAGGCATCTGGTGCAAAATAAAAGAATGGGAAATATCTGAGAAAGGGTGGAACCATGGGGATCTCTGAATACCTCTCTCCCTTCCTGCAAAAAAAAAAAAAATTGCATGGGAGCAGAGAAAAAAAATGAGCAATCTCAACCCCAAGGATCATCTTCTACTACCAGAAAATTGGAAATGTCTGCAAATAAGGCCTTTAATGACAAAAAAGTTCTTAGGGAGTATATGGGAAGTTTAGCTCTGGGTCTGAACTTTCCCAAACTCCACTTGGATCAGGGTGATCAGGACTCATCTCCACCATTAACCTTCACTATAGTCTCCTTCTGCTGATCTACTCTGTGACGATAATGAACAAATATTAAGGAGCAACACTACAGATCCCTGCTTAACTTGGAAACTATAGAGTTGCCAACTCACTGGTATCACAAGTCACGTGATTCTTAGTGCTGTTCCTAAAAGCTGAAGAAAAGGGTAGAAACTAGTGGTTTAATTAATTGAAATCATGGCAACAAATAGTTTCTCTGAAATAAAACATAACCATCGTTGGCATATTGACTAGCAAAAGAGAAAGCATTGGTGCTCATCTCAAAAGGTGCAGAAAACCAGCATCTGCAGTTTCTTCCAGAGTGAATTTACTCAACTAAAACTGTGCTGGAACTGGAAAAGCAAAACTTTGGGAAAATTACTGATCCTGGAAACGAGATGTTTTCAGTGTCTTTCCATCAAAACTGCTCTATTGAAAATTTAAACCCCTGTTTCAGGGCTTCCAACAGCTCTTTGCCATCAACTTCATTGAGCAGTTTGTCCTCATATTCAGTGCCTCAAAATGGCACAGATCAGTTAGCTCAGTGACAGACCATCTTTGCCAGCTGTGGGCTGGAATGACCCACCTCAAGCCAAAGGTGGGTGGGCAGGTGCCAGGACCTGCCTGCAGCTGGTGCTTCTTCCCTCGGCAGCAGTGATAAGCCACCTTTGCCAGCTGCAGGCCAGAATGACCCACCTCAGGCCAGAGGTGGGCACCAGGACTTGCCTGCAGTTCATGCTTCTACTACTGAATTAGTGATTGTTCCACAAAACTGGAAAGCAAAGATATGAATCTGAAAAGATGAAGTCTTCTACAGTAATTTCACCTCCTTACTGCAGCAGAAAGCACAAGCAATTTAAAAATACAATGGAAACTCTTTAGCCAGACAACATACTTCCAAGCAGAATAAAACCTCTCCACTCTTAAATGTTAAATGTTGCAAAGGAAGAAACAAAGGAATATATAAAACAACCTTAAGAATCAACAGTGGCAGTAGTACAAGAAGGCTGGTCAGACTGAAGGAATGACCTAAGGTTACTAGCATCTGCACAGGAAAGTCTGTATTCCTGCTTAATAGCATGGGTTTCACATCTAAAAAGAAAACCACAGCCCTTGTGTTCTCATTTCTGAAGAAGGCAAGCAAGAATGCACAGAAAGGTGTACGCAGGTGGTCTTGGTCATTTACTAAATGAAAATGAAATGGAAAAAAGAAAAAGATGACAAATGTCCTTCGATACAGGCATATGAATGCTGTAAAATAAGTATCTAAAGCACAACATGGATGCTCAGATCTGCAACTGACATCATTCTCGTGGCGTAGGT